AATATACAATTGATGCCAATACTAACAGCTCACTCTGGTCTGATGTCAGGGCTGCAGGTACAGATGTGGAAGTCATTTACACCAAACTCAGAGATGAACATATGAGGACCACTGACTTTCTGAGGAGGAAAGAAATGGCATAGCAAAACAGACAGCCAAGCCTGAACATTTTGAGACATGCCCCTTTGGAAAGGAGTAATGTGAGAAGCCAGAGAATGGGCATAGAGAAGACAGTAGAGAGAAAATAAAAGTCACAATGACAGAAGAGCAGTGGAATATCAAAGAGATTATAGGATCATGAAGAGCATCTCCAAATATTTGTGTCTGACAAATATGTACTGAGAATCCACTATGTGCCTGGCACTGTTCTGGGGCCTGAAGATAGAACAGTGAGCAAACCAGAGTCTGTCCTCAATGTGCTTACATTTTAAGGAGGAGAGGATAGACAATGAGCAACTTAATATGTTAAGTCAAACCACAAGAAACTGCTAACATTTGTCTGGTTTTGACCTACAAAACGTGCATTCTCATGTGGTTCTACTTAATATAATGTCAAATAGTAGCAGATAATGTGAAGGAAATAAAAGGGTGCAAGGAGAAAGAGCTGCCAAGGGAAGAGGGGCCTCCTGAACATGCCGGCATTGTTTGTACAGAGACCCTGAATGAAGCAGGGAAATGAGCCATGTGGGTATCTCAGCACCATGGGCAGAGGAACAATGGCACACAGACTGTGGGTTTGCAATGTGCTTAGAGAGAATAAGAAAAAAACTAATGGACTTGGCTATTGGATAATCACTGCATGGGGGTTGCCTATAGAATGGTGAAGACTAAGGCTAGGAATCAAAAATATTGCGGAGATCGAAGGGGAGTCTAGGGCTTCCAAAGACTTAAGTGTAAGCAGCTGGTTTATTTACACATGAAATCATTTGCTCATCCAACAAAATGAATGAGTCAAAGGAAAAAGGATCTTGGAAGTCACGAGAGCTTAAACTGAAGATGACGACAACGAAAATGGAGGGAAAAGGATGTATACATACCAAGATGCATAAAAGGATGTATCCATGCATAAAAGGATGTATATCCTGACTGCAGGAGGAGAGGGAAGGCCATTCCAAAGGTGATGGCTTTGGCAGTAGTGCTGCCTTTCATGAGAAGGGCAGAATCAAGTAAAGATGTTGCAAGTGACAAGAGACCTGTGCATATCTATAGCAGAAGAAAACCCTGAGAGGGTGACCAGAGATGCTGAAGGCATAAGGCACACCTAAAGGAGACACAAGGGGAAAAAATGGGGCCATGGGTGGATGTGAAGGGACCTACCCTCCAAAATGGTTCCTTCAAAGACTCACAAATGATACAGTCATGATCCATCCCAGGCATTGCAAACTCAAATTTTAGGCAGGTAAAGTAAATGTGGGAGGTGGGCTGGCCAGGTGACGTTTAACAGGGCATGGTGGGGATTGTGGCAACCTGAGACATCCTGCCCTGTGGAAAGTGGGCAGCCAAGCCTTAGCTCAGGCTTTGGCCATGCAGAAACAAGAACTTAGAATTGCCAGATGCTCTAATATTTCAAGACAAGCAAAAGAGATGGGTTTTTACATGCAGTTTCTCGATGTATATGTTGTTACAGATCTTAAAGATTTTTTAAACATCATGCAGGCCAAACAAAACACATCTGTAGTCCAGATGGGGCCTGCAGGTTGCCAATTTAGGACCTCTGGCTTAAAACAAAGATGTTAGCATGGTCCTTAGGCTTGGTCATGGCTCTGAGCTCCTGACACAGTTGCATTTGCCTGCTGGGCAGTCCCAACTATAGGTCCTGCCAGTATCTCAACCATAACACACCCAAACCCAAATTCATTTTTCTCCCCGAAATTCTTCTTCCTGCCTTGTCTATTTCTCATGAAGGGCAGCATTACTGCAAAAGTCATCACCTTTGGAATGCAAACAGCCTTCCCTCTCCTCCTGCAGGCAGGATATACATCCTTTTATGCATGGATGTCTACACCTTGGTATATATACATCCTTTTTACTCCATTTTCATCGTCGTCATCTCCAGTTTAAGCTCTCATGACTTCCAATCTACAATATCCAGGTAATTTTCCACTCCCACTCACTTCCTTTTCCTCTCCATTGCTTAAGTACAGACTTCACTGACGTACATCCATGATCCTTTACAGCATGGCCTTTCCAACCCATTACTCCCTTTTATATATACATATTCTAAGTTTTGCTGGCATGGACTGCTCAGATTGCTAAACTCAGCCCAAGTTTTTGCATGTCTAGATCAGGGTACTGAAGGACTATCGACATGTTGGCCCACATAATTCTGTGCTGTGGGGACTGACTGTCCTGTGCATTGCAGGATGCTTAACAGCATCCCTGGCCTCTGCCCACCAGATGCCAGTAGAATCTCCCCTCAAGTTGTGACAGCAAATAGAAGGTGATGGAAATAATAAGCCACCATAAGATTTTCACCAGGATTATCTTCAAATTAATTTGAACTCAAAGTATTTATCAATAGATAACAGAAAAGTTTGCTCAGAAATGGGTGGAACGGCAGAGAAAAATAAAAATCAGTTTCTGATAGAAAGTTATTGTGTATAAATTATAGTGCCTATGACCATAGTTAGTGTATCTTTGGACTTCTTCATATTTATTAGAGAAAATAGCAGTTCCCCCGGGAGATTTTGCCTCCCAGACTCTCCTGCTGGGCAAGGTCCCCTTTTCTGAGCTCTCAGAGCAAAGACTTTATAATAACTCCTTGTTTAATTGTTGGTTTCCCTCTAGGCTGCATACTCCATAGGGAATGTATTTTGTTCTTGTCACAGCCATATCCCTACCAACTAGCACAGTGCCTGCCATAAAGTGGGCACTCAATATTCCAGCAGTAATAAGTCTTGCACTAACAGAGTTATTCTCCTGCATCTAATTCTCAACAAATCTCAATTTTCTTCTTCCTTTAAGACTTAGCTCAAGATCAACGATCTCCCTGAAGACTCCCTCACTAATGCCAACTGACAAAGGTCTTTCTTTTTTCATACATTATACAGCACTTCATAGATTCTGGTTACTCATGGTTTCCATATATTAGACCTTTATCACCAATCACACTCAGGATCTTCAAGATAGTCTGTCTTTTTCAACTTTTTATTACCCATCACCCTTAACAGTGAACATTTAGTACATGATTCTAAATATTTGTAGTACAAATGAATAAATGTTGGTGTCATTCACCAAAACAGCTGGGAAGTCCTCCATAGCCAACTAATTTACCGACTGGGGTGGTTAATTTTATTTTTCTTTTTTCTTTTTTTTTTAATTGTACTTTTTTTTAAATGTGTGTATGTGCCACATTTTCCTTGTCCAGTTTATCGTCGATGGGCATTTGGGTTGGTTCCAGGTTCTAGGGTACATGTGCAGATCATGCAGCATTGTTGCATAGGTACACACATGGCAATGTGGTTTGCTGCCTCCATCCCCCCAGCACCTACATTTGGCATTTCTCCCCATGTTATTCCTCCCCAACCTCTTCACCCCGCACTGTCCCTCCCTTGGCCCCCCCAACAGACCCTAGTGTGTGATACTCCCCTCCCAGTGCCCATGCGTTCTCATTGTTCAACACTCGCATATGAGTGAGAACATGCAGTGATTGATTTTCTGTTCTTGTGTCAGTTTGCTGAGAATGATGGTTTCCAGATTCATCCATGTCCCTACAAAGGATGTGAACTCATCATTTTTTATGGCTGCATAGTATTCCAGGGTGTGTATGTGCCACATTTTCCTTGTCCAGTTTATCATCGATGGGCATTTGGGTTGGTTCCAGGTCTTTGCTATTGTAAACAGTGCCACTATGAACATATGTGTGCATGTGTCTTTATAATAGAACAATTTATAATCCTTTGGATATATACCCAGTAATGGGATTGCTGGGTCAAATGGAATTTCTATTTCTAGGTCCTTGAGGAAGTGCCACACTGTCTTCCACAATGGTTGAACTAGCTTACACTCCCTGGGGTGGTTAATTTTATATGTCAACTTGACTGGGCTAAGGGATGCTCAAACATTATTTCTGGCGTGTCTATGAGGTTGTTTCCAGAAGAGATTAGCATTTGAATCAATACACTTAATAAAGAAGATTGTCCTCACTAACGTGGACAGACATCATCCAATCCATTGAGGGCCTGAATAGGACAAAAGGATAAATTTGCTCTCTCTTTTTAAGCTGCTATATTTATATTCTCCTGCTCTCAAACACCAGTGCTCCTGATTTTCAGGTGTTTGAACTCAGACTGGGACGTACATTATTGGTTCCCCCTGGTTCTCAGTCTTTGGGGTTTGGGCGAGAATTACACCGTCAGCTTTCCTGGGCCTTCAGCTTGCAGATGTCAGATCATGGGACTTCTTAACTCCCATAGTTGTGTAAGTCAATCTTTCATGATCAGTCTCTTTCTATATATCTATATATCCCATTGGTTCATTTTCTCTGAATTATCCTACTACTGGAATTAAATTTTAAATTTATGATCTCTATCTAAATGCTTATCTAATGTTCTCTACCTCTGACTTAAAATTAAATGTCTATTGATTTAATTTGAATTATTATTTAACAATAAATATGTCACTTTACAAATAATAAATATAAAACTCCTCTATCCAGCACGTATTTTTATCATCTTAGATGTTTGTGGTCTGGTGGAATGAGGTCCTTACTAGAAAAAATAGAGACCAGATATAGCCCAGGCTCTGGAACTAACTTGTTGTGAACTTAAGCAGGTCAACTAGCCTCCCTAATTTCCTCCACCTATAAAACGGATATATTAATATCTTTCTGCTAGCAAGAGTAGTGATAGTTCCTATAGGCTTAGGGCTTGGAATTTTGCACACTAGATACAAATCTATATACCACTTCATGATAGCCGTGTGCCCTTAGTCAATTATTTAATCTCTCTGACTTGACTTCTTAAACTGTAAAATTGCAATAGAGCCTATTTTGAGACTTACATGATGGTATATGAAGTCACTGGTAAGTAACAAGTGATCAATTGCAGGCCCCTATTACGAAGGAACAAACAAAACAATGTAAGTATAAAAGAACTTTGGACAAGAATAGTTCCTAGGGCTGACCCATTTTATAACTGCAATTATCAGCAAGTTAAAGGAGAATGGTATCAATTGCCCAATATCCATTTAAACAAAATTCTTACTCCTCCTCAGTACTGTGGCTACAAAATCAGTACAGAGGTTTTTATGGACTGAGACTAGAACTGGGTCCAGGACATACGTTATACTTCAAAGTGTATAAACCTGAAAATATCCCCATAGCTTCATGAAACCCCTTTGAATTTTTAGAAGACCTTTTTGTTAGATCTGGTGATTCTGTCTGGAATATCCAAATCTGTTCTGAATCATCTGGAACTTTTACCACATCCAAACTAAGGCAAACTTTAACTGCAGGTTCAAAGTAAAGTCAAGCAGAAATGCAGCTTTATGCTAAGGAGGTCAGTGCCCATTCTAATTCATGATGGCAGGATCCCCTTGCATTCAGCAAACTGGATTGTGAGAACTATTTACCTCTGTCTCTTGCAACCCCTGTGCAATGCAAGCCTCAACTGCCACATTTATGTATGTGTATCTGGCTCTTCCTCATCAATATTCTTGAGGCTGAAAAAAGTTCAATTAAATTCACAATTTAGATGGCATTCTTCTCAAATGGAAAGAAAAAATGAAGAGATATTTTGACGAATTCAGATCCAAAACCTTTTTTTGTTAATATGTATATTTCATTCACTCAACAAATACTTATTTTCAACTGAAATATCAAATAGACGTCTCAAGTTTCCATTTCTTTTTGGTTTTGAGAACCTGGACTTTGTTTGACCTTGAACAGGATCTTCCTCTCAAATTTCCCATCAATAAAGCTGAGAAAATGACAGTATTTGTCCGCTGCATCGGGGAATTGTAAAACTTAATTAATTGACATCTTGGATGAAAAGTGTTAGCAACACCAACATTTTGCATTACTTCCTGACCTGTATATGAATGAGTGTTAGTTTAAAAAGACAAATTTCTACAATTTATAGCATGATTGTAGAGTGGAATTTTATGCACACACACACACACACACTCATCCATATACATATGTATATGCATATGTATAGCTTGGCATTTATACGAATGTGTGATTTCAGCAGCAAATCAGCCAAAGGAAAAATTAGCTACAGTTTTTTCCAAGGGAAATAATTTTCTTTTCATGTTCTGTTATTTTCAAAAGATTCTAATGCTGTTATTCCAAAACGAAATGTCCTCAAACAAGGCAAAGACAATTCTTCATTGAATTATGCTTGCAGATACCAAATTTTCAATGTTGTGTTAGTCCCACAAGACTAATCCAAAATTTAAAAAATGTATATGGAAACATTCTTTTAAAATGAATTAAAAATGCTGTACCCTTTTAGGATCTGATAACTTTCAGATAAATAAACTTTCAAAAGTAGGGAAGGAGGCAAGATAGAAAAGAAGGGCATATTTAAAGAATATTATTGTTTTCACTCCCTCTCCCCCCAAAAAAAATCATCCATAAAATTTATTTTGCTTTCTGACTTGACTAAAATTGGGCAAGTTCGTGTTATGACAAAGTAATAGAAAGGAACTGCTCTGAATGTAATTTAGTAGGAGTATTAAGAAACTATTTCTTTTTCTCTTTGCACAATCTCTTTGGCTATCACATTCATACATTCCTGCCTGCCTTCTTTGGGACACAAATAGATAAGATATTTCTTACAGATAAGTGATTTTTCTGGATGCAGCTATTTTGATAGCTGATTAGTTGACTAAATGCCGTCGTATTTTTAAACTAGTTCATTTATATAGATTAGGCTTTTATTCAATATAGCACTACTTAACTTTGGCATCAAAATATGGCCTCCTGTCATAGGAAAAATATACGCAACTGACAAGGACTGAACACTACCTAATACAGTGGGAAGAGTATCTAGCTTAGGACTGTTTGTCTTGTAGCATGAGTGAGAATCCTTTGTTAATTTAAATAACACTGCATTTTAACACCTAATAAGAAGTATTAGATGTGAAATATAAACATTTTTATAGATATCCTATGAATGTTAATATTATTTCACTTTGTTAAATCACTTTCCACATGGATAGTGTATTTCCATGAAAAGCTTTAATGAAGAGAGAGAGAGAAACCATATGTAAAACATCAAATGGGTCACGAAAATTGGAAAGGGGGGACAGGTTGTTTCTAAGTAAATGTATACAAAAAGAAAACAAAAATAGAAAATCTGAAAAGTAGCTGAACCGTTGATGAACAGATACATCTCTTAAGAAGCTATTGTCTTTCCTTCCATTATTGAAATCCTGCTTTTAGGCATCCTCTTCATTTATTTATGAAAAGACTTTTTGTCTGTTTTGTTTACCAACAGATCCTTGATGTAGACACATAGTGACTGACATATAGTATGTGTTCAGTAAATCTTTGTTGAATAAAGGAGCAAAGGAAGGCCAGCTGGACAAACACATGGTGATGGCTATCAAATTTGAGATTAGTAAAAATCAAAAGGAATTCGAAGGAGTCCTTCCTCTGTAACTTTGAGGTATGACAAGAAGGAGAAGAATGGTAAAGAAAAACAGGTGTCAAGATTAACCAATAAATGGGACTCTGGCTGGAAAGAAAACAGAAATTGCCCAAAGGATCATTGAAATATTGCTCTCTCCTTTCACAAGAGTGAGACATCACTTTTAGCAAGAAAGGCGTGGAGTTGAAGTAGTGTGAAGAAGTAAGGTAACTGCCAGTAGAGTAAGGGGCTCCCTAAATATCTCTGAGTAAATGAAAGGCTGTCTGTAAGCTAGGTGTTGGCAAGGCACTGGGATGGCAAACTGCAGTTGTCCTTAAAGAGCTCAAAGTCCAAAGACGAAGAAATAAATAGGATGGTTCAGATCCTGACAGAAAAGAAAGGAGAAATAGGTAAGAAGGTGACAATAATTGAAAGGGAAATTAATCTCTCCTTTTTCCAACATAAGATATATTATTTAGAATTTATGCAAAATTCCACATGCCTTAGAAAAGACACAATGGGCCACAAAAGGTAAGTTCAACAAAAAGCCTCTGAAATGCATGTCCATAAGTTTGAGAACTTTTATATGAGAGAGAATAACAAATTCTTCTGGAAAGACGAAAGCTCAGGAGAAATATGATTGGAGATTTAAAAATGTACAAAGTAAATGGGATGAACATGCACTTGTTCAAAAAAGTTCACGAATTGTGGAATAAGGGACAGCTCTCATAGCCTTAGAGTGGTACATTTATGATAAACTTTTAAAAATACTATAACCAAATATAGTACAGATTAAAAATATAAATAGATTGGGATGTGTATAGACAAATTCATGGATCAGAGACAACTCTAGTAGCTTGAAGTCAAATCTGGCCTGTGGCCATGGTTTTTTAAAACTCTTTATTATGGAAACTTAAAACATATACAAATTTAAATATGTATATATTCCTCCATCATCCAGCTTCGGTAATTATCAACCTATTGGCCAGCCTCATGTCATTTATATCCTCTTCACCCCAACCTAATCCGTGTATCATTTAGAAGCAAATCTCAAATATTGCATCAGTCATCTGTTAAGATTTCAGTTAATAATTCTAAAATATAAGGACATTAAAAAAAATAACTTTAGTGTCAATATCACACCAAAATTTAATAATAATTCTTTAACATCATCCGGTAGCATTTCAAATTTCTCTAATTGATATGCATGGTGTTTTTAAAAATTAGAATTTTTTTGCTACATTTGAAAATCAATATATTTCAGCCAAAAGTCTAAATTTCTGACTTCTCCTGAAACGTTGAAAAGATCTGGCAACTCTAGGCACACATTTCTAAATAGCAACATTGAGCAGGGATGCAGTAGCTGCTTCCCCTTTGAGACTATTCTCGAACTTTTTCTAGCTGACCACAGTCCTCACCACTCTGCCCTCTCCACCAGTCAACATTGCCTGCCTGTCTCTCGGACAGAACGGAGTTTGCAATGCTGAATCTAAGCTAACAGAAATTATGGATGATGGAAACGCATTCTTTAACTTTGGGGGTTAATGTTATACATGGTGACCATGGTCACAGTTTAGCCTGCTAGACTTGGGTAAAAAACAGACAGAAAAGAAACTCACAACCCTAAAGACAAATGGTCAGATTTGAAAGTCAAGCCAAGGACAGATCAAGAGAGAATGCAAAGTCAACAGATTCAGGATCCAAGAGGAGGAATGGCGGTGTTATGGGATACAGACTTCTTTGATTAGTTAAGGAATTATTTGGAGAACCAAACTATGTGCTGGGCTCTCTTCTTTGCTGTGCATTCCAAGATCCAGAGATGGGTATTACTGCTTTTAAAGGAGTTATGCCAAGTTCAACACTACATAAAGCCTTCCTTCCCTCCCCATTCACTTGTCGGTTTTGAAATGTGAGAATGCGAGTACAGTAGGTTAAATTAAAAGTCTAGTCACTGGGGCAAGATATTAATGCTCTTAAAATTAAAACTAAAATTAAAATCGAAAGCAAGATTTCTTTCACTCACCTGTATCTATATGTTGACTACTTTGCAGATATGCTGGAATGCCCCATACTCAACGTAAGAAAATAAGATGGTATGTGTTTGCCAACCAGATGTTATTCAAAAGTAAAAGAGTTTAATTTTAAGACTGCAGAAAGAGAAAATGTTCAATTTGCTTGTTATGCTCACAGTAAATTAAAAACTTTTAAAAAAGGCAATGAGTGTGAAATATTAAATATTTACTTCTCAGGGTATTTTTGTGCATCCTGGCATTCATGGATAATAATAATTGCTGTATCTTATCCAAGACACACCTAGACTGAGAAATCTTAAGTATATGCACCTGTCAATGCACATGCATAATTCCCATCAGTTTAATAGTACCAGAGGAAGTGCACCAATGAAAAAAGAAAGACCCCCCCAGATGTTTACTATAATGAGAAACCTGGAAGGATCTTGTTTCCCTGGGAATTAAGTAAACCATTATTAAATTCCATTAAAATTTCTCAAAATATATATGCATCCAGGACAGAAAAACTTAGTGGATAAAAGATTTCATAGACAACATCTCATAAAATTGGCATGTGTCAGTATCTTTGTGTGTTGAAAAACCTCAAAATGGCTTGGGACTCTATGTAAGAGCTCAGTCAAGGAAATTAGTCATTCTGAGACCTCAGCACGGTTCACATCTTTAACAGGGAAATGCCTTGCCTTTCTGCTCTCTTTTCTATGTGTTAATTCAAATACCCCGTAGATGAGTCTTCATGATCAAGTGATATGCACACAAGCCCCTAGGGCAAACACAGCTCAGAGCCATGACTACATGTAATGCATGGAAAAGGCTACAGGCTCCCTATCAGCAAAGTGTGGTTTACGTAATTCAAGAGTCAAAAAGCTGGCTCCACTGCAACTTCTGCTATTTAACCACTCCAATTACTTTGATCTAGACCTTAGCATTTCTCCCTGTAAAGAAGAAAGGTAATAATGCCTATCCACGTATTTCCCAGGATCTGAATGATCCAAAAGAATGATAAGTGTTAAGCGAAGGGAACTGCAAAGTCCAAAGCACTATACAGCTGCAAGCACCATGAGCACTGCATGCTCTGCTTTCAGAGCACTGATTGGCTTAGTGTGCATTTTTTTGTCTTTTGACTTTTTTCTTTAGTATACAAGAAATGCAAGTCAAGATATATAAAGTAGAACAGGAGAGGCAGTAAGAAAATGGGACATCATTCATGTTCTTGCCACTCTGAAATAACACCCATTAATGCTGGAATACATAGATATCACGCTAAGCCAGTGCTTCTCAAATGAGGGCAATTTTGTCCCTTTACTCCCAAACCTCCAACTCCTAGGTGACATTTGGCAATTTCTGGAGACATTTTTGGTTGTTCACAGGTGCCAAATGTCCTACAATGCACAGGACACCCCCTGACAATGAAGAATTATCCAGCCCAACATGTCAATCATGCCAAGACTGACAAACCTTGATATAAACATACATGCAAATATGCATAGGTAACATCACATATAACGTTAATGCCAGAATGCCACTTACCACTACCAAATGTTAGGTGGAATGACATTCCCAAAATCTCATATTTAATCAATTTTTGCTACTATTGTAACAGCACACATGCAATATACAAATGAAATTTAATACTGGAATTATAAAGTGATTCTTCACATATATCTAGTGGACAACGTGTTACTCTCCCAATTTTTTTTCTGTGACTGCAGGAAGCTGGTGAGGTAAAGGGGAGAGAAGAGATGGGGTGGCTTTTGCTCAAGGAGATTTGCCATTTACTACTGCAAGATATATATATATCATTTTTTTTTTTTTTTTTTTTTTTTTTTTAGACAGAGTTTCACTCTTGTTACCCAGGCTGGAGTGCAATGGCTCCATCTCGGCTCACCGCAACCTCCACCTCCTGAGTTCAGGCAATTCTCCTGCCTCAGCCTCCTGAGTAGCTGGGATTACAGGCATGCGCCACCATGCCCAGCTAATTTTTTGTATTTTTAGTAGAGAGGGGGTTTCACCATGTTGATCAGGGTTGTCTCGATCTCTTAACCTCGTGATCCACCCACCTCAGCCTCCCAAAGTGCTGGGATTACAGGCGTGAGCCACCATGTCCAGCTGCAAGATATATTTTTTGACACTAAAGTGGGGTCACACTGATATTAGACTGACCACATAGAGTATGAGAGAGACTGATTGTTATGGGGACATTGTTAAAGCAGGAATATTCTTGTGGGTAATACTTTATTTTTATTTCTTGTGAATAAGTAGTTAATAGAGGTAAGAAAATAAATAGGTTATATATTTTAAATTCTCTCTCTCTGTGTAGGCCAGGTGTGGTAGCTCACACCTGTAATTCTAGCACTTTGGGAGGCTGAGGCAGGTGGATAACCTGAGGTCAAGAGTTCAGAACCAGCCTGGCCAACATGGTGAAAGGCTGTTTCTACTAAAAATACACACACACAAAATTAGCTGGGCCTGGTACCACACACCTGTAATCTCAGCTACTTGAGACGCTGAGGCAGGAGAACTTCTTGAATCCAGGGGGCAGAGGTTGCAGTGAGCCAAGATCCCTCCCCTTCACTCCAGCCTGGACAAAAAATCAAAACTCTGTCTCAATTAAAAAAAAAAAGGAAAAGAAAAAAAACAAATTTTTCCTCCCTCCCTCTCTTCCTTCCCTCCTTCCTTCCCTCCCTCCCTCTCTCCCTTCCTTCCTTCCTTCCTTCCTTCCTTCCTTCCTTCCTTCCTTCCTTCCTTCCTTCCTTCCTTCCTTCCTTTCTTCCCTCCTTCCTTCCTTCCTTCCTTCTTTCCTTCCTTCTTTCCAGGGTCTGGTTCTATTGCCCTGGGCAAAAAAGCCAAACTCTATCTCTAAAACAAAAACTCTCTGTTTTCTCTCTCTCTTTCCTTCTTTCTTTCTTTTTTCTTTCTGTCTCTCTCTCTCTTTCTTTCATTCATTCTTTCTTTCTTTCTTGGCAGGGTCTCACCCTATTGCCCAGACTGGTATGCAGTGGTGCAATCATGGCTCATAGCAGCCTTAAACTCTAGGGCTCAAATGATCCTCTTATCTCAGCCTCCTGAGTAGCTGGGACTATAGGCACATGACACCCTGCCTGGTTATGATTTAATTTTTTTCTAAAGCCAAAGTCTCCTCATGTTGCACAGACTGGTCTTGAACTCTTGGGCTCAAGTGATTTTCCTGCCTCAGCCTTCCAAAGTGCTGGGATTAAAGGCATGAGCCACTGCACCAACCTGAATTCTCTTTAATAAAATTAAATATTACTTTTTACAAAGCTAAGAAATTAAATGTCAGAAGTCCACCAACATAAATTTAATAATTAAGTTAATAGAAATGGCAAGAGGAGATCTAATGGTAAAGGTATTCTACAATGTTTTAACCTAAATAACACTGTACAAAAAGATGCTAGCTATATAAAATCATAACAAAATCAGATCTACCACTTTATTTTCACTAGGCAATAAATAGATCACATCTTTATGTGTACATAAATATAATGCTAAACAACCCTTTTAACAACAGAGAAATATTTTATTGTATGGATGATTATAATGTATTTATCAATCCCCCATTTTATTAGGTTGGTGCAAAATTAATTGTGGTTTTGCCACTAGAAGTAATTTTTGCCATTAGAAGTAATGGCAAAAACCGCAATTACTTTTTGCACCAACCTAATAAATATTCATATATGAGTTTCAATCTTTCATTAAAGTAAACAATGCTACTCTGAACATCTTCACTGTTAAATCCTTATGTACATCTTGAAGTACGTTGTTTAACTGGTAGAAATAAAATTAGAAGTAGAAGTGTAGAATTCATATTGCCAAGTTGTCCTCCAGAAGATGTTCCTGTAAAACAAAATTCAAGTTTACCTTTATACTTCCCATTTTACCTTCCCTAACAATCTGCCTGTATTCTTTGTTTGTTTGTTTGTTTGTTTTGAGATGGAGTATTGCTCTGTCTCCCAGGCTGGAGTCCAGTGGTGTGATCGCGGCTCACTGAAACCTCCATCTCCCAGTTTAAGCGATTCTCCTGCCTCAGCCTCCCAAGTAGCTGGGATTACAGGCATGTGCCACCATGCCTGGCTAATTTTTATGTTTTTAGTAAAGATGGGGTTTTACCATGTTGGCCAGGCTGGTCTCGAATTCATGATCTCAAGTGATTCTCTGGGCTCAGCCTCCCAAAGTGTCGAGATTACTGGTGTGAGCCAATGCACCCAGCCAGTCTGCCTCTGTTCCTGAAAATAGCCTCACCACTGTGCCTGGTGAGCATGACTTCTTCCAGGGACATGGATTACTCTATGCCTTGGCCTCTCCAAAGTGCCAGAATTGAGGTGACTCCAGGTTTTGAGACAGCCAACTGATCACTGATCACTGAATTATCATTCAGGTAAAAGTTCACCAAGACAGATCCATAGCAAATCTGATTCAGCCACGAGGGAAATCCCAATTAGCAATCTTTTATTTCTTTAAACTAACCTTTAACTTCATCTAATTGCCTATGTGTCAATTCAATTAACATATGTAATTAATATTTTAAAATGTTGGTCCCAAGCACCACATACAGGACTCTTCTTTCTGATAGGCTCTCAGCAAACACTCACAAAGACATCATGTGAAATTTCAAGTCTTTCGTTTCTTGTCCCTATAGGCCTTCAGTTTTTTTCTGAGAGCTGCTCTGCTGTATTGGAAGATATTGGAAGTGGTTGGCTAACCCAGTGCTAAGGTCCTGGATGGGGTTGCGGGATAGAGGAATTCATAAATAACTATATCGTGTTTTTAAAAAAATTCATTGCAGCAGACTGTGTTTGTACCTGAGCAAATGTGCCATTTACTCAGAATGCAAAATATTTTTGATCAAGTAAAAGGATTTTCTAAATGTGACAAGGTCTCTGTGTTTCAGTAATATAGACCACACTGCCATGGTGGGGCAGTTCTTCTCCCTGGCCACTAGCATGCCATTTTCTGCCCTGAGAGGGAATTGGCTAGGTGAAGCCTTTAGCCTGTAATACCTCCTTCCAGTTGTAAATTTATTCTTTCCCTCCTTGCTGGCAATTTTTACTTTTCCAGCTTGGCACATAGAATCTTGCAAGTCTCCCTGGAAGGTGACTCATATTTAAATGTGAATGGGGCAGCTGGCTTCTGTTATCTTAAAGGGTTACGTTATGTCATTGCACATTTTCAGCTGGGGTAAAAACAAACTGTGCTCTTTCCACACATCAATTCCAGTAATATATATTTCTATGAGGTCACAGGGACTTATAAAGTGTCTGAAATTTTTCCAGCTTTAAAAATTAAAACCAACGTACTGTTTCTTAATAATTCAGCAACAGCAACAAAAAAATCCCTCATTTCCAGTCTTGTTGTTTGAGAATTCTTTCTGAAAGAATGATAATGATAATGATAATGATGACGGTGATGATGATGATGGTGATGATGTGATGATGGTGATGATGATGACAGTGACAATAATGATGATAATAAAAATTAAAGTGCTTTGACCATTTACCACACACTAGATACTGTACCAAGATCTCTACCTGTAGTCTTCATCTCAATCTAAAGAAAGAGTTATTGTTTCCATCCTTTGGCCGAAGACTTGAAAGTCTTAAAGGGGATAAGGTCAAAGCTGTAAATGGCAAAGGCAGGGTTTGAAAGTAGCCAATTTTAACTCCAAAGCCTGTATCGTTAATCATTGTGATATGCATTTATGTACATATCCACGTATCTTGCCAGTAAGTAATTTTCTAAGATTCTAGTAAGCAAATGAATTTTTCCTCATGATATATTTCCTCTGGTAGCCTTTCCTGGCCACCCAGGAAAAGGCTGGTGAGAATACCAGGTGAGGTGAGATGTCCTGAAGTCTCCTAAGCATCATATACACTGACTTCTATTAAGACAGGCAGCTACATTAATTAATTAATTAATTAATTAAGACAGGTAAGGCTGGGTGCGGTGGCTCAAGCCTGTAATCCCAGCATTTTGGGAGGCCGAAGCAGGTGGATCACGAGGTCAAGAGATCAAGAACA